TCCTCTGAAAACTCTGGCACACCACTGATGATCTTTAAGGCACAATGTAAATGCTCCAAACCCATAAATGGAAGTATTGGGGATGGAAAAAGAAAAACATGCTCTTTTTTTTTCATTAGAAAAATAAAATAAAGCCACATTGAAAACATCCTGCCAACAAACTAGGAGGCTACTAGATAACTGCCTAATGCTGCCAAAAATCATTCCGAAAGGATAAACAGCTGCTTCCTCACAAAACACACAAAAACACAGACTAAAATTACCTGACAGTCATTTTCAATCCTAGCATACAGACACTGTGTGGGATCTCCAAGGCACTGCACAGGCAGCTGAAGCCTATGGTGTTAACCATCTTAGAAGAACTATCTGACCATCTAATCTGTCTTGCATCAGTTTCATGAGATACCTGCTAAAACACCTTGACTTTCTTACCAAGTGGAAACCTACCAAGCCACTGGCAATATCTATCATAACCCAGTGTGCCACTTCAAATGTCTGATTAAATTAAAGCACCACTGGACACAGATGCAAGTCATGCTTCCATTTGCTGGGCACATCCCACCAACCTGTAAGCTCAGTTTTCTCTACTGAGTACCTAAATTTCCGGTATCCTGTAGTTTCACCTTGAGTTTGACAAGCTTTAGTAAGTTAGCAACAAAATGTACAATAATTGATCTTCAAGCTTCATAAATATTCAGTAGGATCCGGGTATGAAATGTAGAAAGCTGTTGCATAATTCCTGTGAAGGCAGCTGGAAAAGGTCAACATCAGAATGCCACCTCTAAAATGGAGATTAACCAAGAGACAGAGCTCCTAGGAAGAATTATCTAAAAGGTCCATGCAGCACTATTTTTTAAGACTAAGATAAGCTTTTTTCTCCCTTCATGAGAAAAGTAGTAATGAAATGTCTTTCCAATAAACAAAGTATTTCCAGGACTTGCATTTTACAAAGTGCTCCTTTGAAAAATGCTGGAATTTTACAGGCTTCTTCCAGTTACAAAGCAAAAAACAAGAAACAAATACAATCCTGTAGCCCACAACTTGTGGTGCCATTACTATCTGCTTTCTAAAATATGGTATTAACAGTCCATTTAATCAGTCTTGGTAACACAGGCAGCAGAGAGAAAAATTGATTACTGTTCCATAATAAAATATTGCATTTTTAAATTATTGCTCTTGTCACTACAGTCACAACAAGTATTTGCACTCTCCCTCCTCTTGTTATGTTGTAATTCTATGAAAATGTGCTAGCTCTGCAGAAACACAAGGGTCCATGTTAGGAAAGCTTTTTACAAGGCTAAGAACCACATGGCTGAGTGTCTAAAAGTAAAATAGAAACCCAATGGCTTTTTTGTCCCTTTCACTCAATTGAAATATTTCAAGTTTATCTGCCAGAAGTGAGCATTTTAAAATCTGCAGAACCAGACCACAAGTGTCTTAAGAATTTTTACAGGATAAGATGACAAGCTCTTGAAACACTGATGTTAGTTTTCAGTAAGTGAGGCTAAAGAAGGCTGCAAAGAAAACCCAACACTCCAACATGACTTAAAAAAGGACAACAGGGTGACACCAGCTTGATTTGGTCCTGTCCAAAATCATGGTATACAATCAAAGAAATAAATGATGGTGGTAAAAAGAAACACTAAACATAGGCTTACAGAAGATAGGTCTCGCTAAATAGATTTGGTATGGCTTTCTGACAAGAATATAGGTTGGACTGGATAAAAATACCTTGTAGTTTTTGACCTACTATACTTAGATCCCTGTAAGATTTAGTGCCACACACCAGTCTGATTTAGAAGTTATTCAACACGAAGAAAACCTGGAATCTAAAACCACCTCATAAATTATTAGGGAGACTTAGGAAAAATATTTGAAATCCACCTCATCAATAGTTAAAGCTGTTTTCTCAGCTCTAAAATCATGGCTCATTAGAGCCTGGAATACTATAAAAAGCTTCTTCCCTTTTAACTTTTCTACAGTTGGAAAAAAACCCATCTACACAGAGTTAAAGAGAAGGGGAGGAGGTATAAAGTCACTTTAAACTTTGACTCCTATAGGTTATTTACTTTTTAGGAAAGAAAACTCCAACAGTAACAGATTTCCTCAATATAAAGGTGTACTTAAAAGCCATTTTTTTTTCAGCAAAATAGAAAGGGTAGTAATGAAAAATCTGAGCCAGTTCCACATGCGTGTAACATCTTGCAGTACTAAACTTACCTAGCTTATACTTTCCATATCCAGAGTCACCTGGAAATGTTACAGAGGATCATTTAACACTTTTGACAAGGACAGGTGTGCAGCGAATTATTATGTATAAGCTGCTTCAGGGTCTTACCATATGGCACACATAAAGGAATTCAAGGGAAGAGGGAAAACGACATCACATTTAGCTTGGTTGTAAGCCTGCACACACAGGTACTTTACTCCTAAAGAGCTGGCACAGCTCTGCCTTTGCTATACCCTGTGCAAGACATTACTGCATGACTCTCCAATACTGATGCCCTAAGAAGGTTCAATGCTACTCAGAATTTCTGCCAGGCAGTTGAAGGATTATATAAAAGTCTGAGTCTGCACAGAATACAAGAACTGGTGAAGGACAAATAAGTAAGAGTAGGTCAAGCCTGCTCCAGAGATCCACATTATACATGACACTGAATTAATGGGAAAAACATGCCAGTATACAGCCCAGCACAACACACACTCCACACACGTGAAACAAGGTGTGTTTCATAAGCTGGGGAACTCTACTTGGAGCAAATGGAAAGAAGACTCCAAATACATAGCAAATACTCAAGTGCATAGAGAAACCCAGCAAACTGGACCTGGCTTCCTGGGCAAAAATATCTCATGGATATTTAAAATGGCAAAATAGAGCACAGAAGAGAAGGGGCTGTTACATCAATAGTTTCTTGGTGATTTATTTACCAATAATAAGGAGTGAAGTTAATGAACATTGACAATGCTATAAAGCCCTGTCTTGAAAAGAAAAATAATGACTTTGTTCTCAAAATTGTTCTTAAGAACTTCAGAGCCAGGACAGAGAATTTGTAAGACTCTTGTAATTAGTAACACATATGAAGACAAGAATGGAAAAAAAAAATCATTAGATATTATTAACTAATCATATGTTCTGCTTTATTCTATATTAATTACTCGAGGACTATCTATCTTTGTTGAGGGTTTAATAACACTATCTGATCAACACTGGAATGATGAACAAAAAGTGAGAAAAGATTCTATTGGATTAAATGATAGAAAAGAGCACGGAAGTCTTCTAACATGATTAAATAACCAACTGTGGATTTTCACTTGCAATAGTCTGCAGTTCAGATCAAGGTCTATCTGTGGTAGAAATGGAAAAGGTTTAGAAAACAGAAAGAGCTCAAAGACAGGCAAGAAAAACAGTAAGTTTTTAATCCAGTCATTAGGACTGGATGCTTCAAGATGCTTAAGACTTCCAAGAGGTAATCAGTGGGTGAAGAGGGAAAAGCAGCAAAAAAGCGTGCTGTAAAGAGAAGTTCAGCTAAGTCTTCTTGTCACTCTTTGGCAAAATACTGGGGCTGGATCACAGTGACCAAAGCCTTACAAAAACCAAAAGTTTTTGTCAAACCAACTATATTAAATGGCAGTAAATTCAGAATTCATAAAAGTGAGCATTTTAAATAGTGCTTACAAAGCTCATGAATTCATGACCTGTTCTTCAGCCCAAACTTTGTATAACTGAATAGTTAGGTTTCCACATAAATTATATCACTCACAAATCACATAATAATACATAAAGAATTTCAAGAACACAAATCACTTACCCAGGCTTTCTATGCTGGAAACTCTTTATTCCCAAGAGTTCAGGCAGAGTTTTTATGACCATTCTCTGTAACACTCTCCCAATAGCATTGGGTTGCTTGTTAGCATCACCAGTTGCTTATTGACAACAAAGCACTGGCTTGAACAATCTACAAATCCGTATATACTGCCATCCAGAACAAAAAAGCACCTCATAATCACTCCCAGCTCTAAAACCTGGGAAGCACAGATCACAGCACACATTCACTTTGTTCTTTTCTTACCCTCATTTTCCCCACCACCCTAAAGCTGTCAGTGCGAAGTGCTGAGCAGAACAAGTCGTGTACAAACCATAATGAAAAGGGAGTAAGAGGGTGTCAGGCTCTGGACGTATATCTCATGTACCATGATATATACTGCAGTAACATTGCCAACTTTAGCACTGCCCAAGTGTCAAAGTCTGTGGACCAAAAGCCTAAAATTCAACACTTAGTATGAGTAACACTTAATACCTCTTTTCTCCAGACACCTCTAGCCTTTTTTTCAGTGCCAGCTTAGGTTTTCAGGGTTGGAAGAAACAACTTTTGTTCTTATCCACTGGTGAGAGCAAAACTTGCCAGGAAAATACCAGAATAATGATGTATTTTACACCATGGGCCCTGCTGCTTGTCTTCCCTCAGTGATGCGCCCAAGGGCAGCCCAGAAGAGGCCAACCTGCTCCCTCACGCCTGCGCCATGGGCATGTCCTCCGCACCCTTACCAGAGAGCGGGCACAAAGGGGCCGCTATTCCCGCGCACTCAAGACACAGGGACCATCACCTCAGTGCTGGGCACCACAGGAGCACCATCCATTTGCTTCACCATGCCATCCCCACCATCACCACAGCCCCCAGGCCATGCAGGAGCCCTCTGAGGGGAGAAGGGGGCAGCCAAAGGCGATGGTAACGGCGGCCCCGGGAAGACACCGGGAGGCAGGACAGTGGCGGAAAGCGCACCCCGGCCCGACTGCCACCCAGCCACGGCGCGTCGAAGGGTGAGGGAGCATGTGCTGGGGGCATGGCGGGGCGGCCCGGGCGGGGGGGCGGCGGGGCCGGGGGCGCGGTGGAGGGGGCGGGGAGGTGGAGCCTGGCTGCGGGCGCGGGGACCGCCGCTTCCCTCCCCCGTCGGCCCCTCACCTGGCGGGGCCGCTCCTCACCACCCGGGGCTCAGGCCTCGCCCGCCGGCCCTCCCCGCGGCAGCCGCCGCCGGGCCGCGCGTCTGCCGACAGCCGGCTCAGGCCCCAGCCGCCGCCGCCGCCTCCCCCTCCATGGCCGCCGCTCTCGCCGGCTGCATTGTGGGAAGCTGACCTCACTCGCTGCTGCCGCCGCCCCGCCGGCTCCGGCACTCGCCGCCATGGGGGCCGTGACCGACGGTGAGACCTCCCTCCACTCCTTCCTTCCTCCCTCCCTCCCCGCGCCCCGGCCCCGGTCCCGACCCCGGCCCCGGCCTCGGCCTCGGCCCCGGCCCGCTCCGCTCCGCTCCCGTCAGCGCCGGGCCCGCCTCGTCTCTCGCCCACCGGCTACCGCCGCACAGCTCCGGCTTCTCGCCCGCCCGGGAACGGCTCCCGGGTCCCTGCCCTCAGACCTCTCCCCGCGGCCCCCCGACCCCCGGCCTCTCACCCCGTAGGCTAGCCTCCATCCTGACCCTGGCCCCGCAGCTCCGCTCCGGGGCCCCTCATGCCGGGGCACGTTCGGGCCTTGGGCGCCCCCCACCCCCAGGCCTCTCCGCCCGGGTCCCTCAGCCGCGCGCTCCGGCCCTGCGGCGCCTGCTCTTGAGCAGACCCTCCCTGTTTAGCCCGGGAATCGTTCCCTGAGGGCCCGGGGTGGAACTCGCGCTCTGCTCGGGGATGCGGCTGCCATAGCGTGAGGTATTAAACGAGGGTTTCTTTCCCCTCAGATGAAGTTATCCGCAAGCGACTTCTGATCGATGGCGATGGTGCTGGTGACGACAGGCGGATCAATTTGTTGGTGAAGAGTTTCATTAAGTGGTGTAATTCTGGATCTCAAGAGGAAGGGTATTTGTTTTCTGATTCTGTTTGTTTGTTTTAGCCTTGGAACCGATTAGCTTGCGCTTCAGCAGAAAACTGGGCTTGATCCGTTAGGAAAAGATCAGTTTTAAAACGTATACAAGTGCTGTTCACTGTGGCTCTGTGGTGCTTCCAGTGCAAACAACGAGCCCCGTGGTAGATGAAGAATTGAGCCAGGTCAGAAATCACTGAAGGCTGCAGGGCTGTATCATCTAATCTGCCAGAACTGCTCCAGTGCCCTCAGGATTGGCATCTGGGAGCCCTGCTCTTTATTATAACAGGATTGTGCCTCGGATATCTTAGTTGGCAGTTCTGCAGTTGTTCTGTCAGGGAAGGGAGTGCTGCTGATATTCTGCTGCTGTAGTTCTCTCCTTTATGTTTAAACACCAAAAACCCTCAAACCAGCCTAAAGTGGTAAGGGATGAGTGATAATGTGCTGTTCTGCTGTGTATCCCTACTAGCACTGGATATAAATTCCCAAAGAGCTCGATATAATGATTGTGTGTACAGAGAAGCAGTGCACTATCAAAATACTAATCCTGGTGGTCACAGAGCCAGCCCAAGCTGGGAACTTTACAACCCCTGATCAATCTGCTCCTTGCTGTAACAATCACTTTACACCTATAAGGACAGACTGGTGCTGTTAATGGGTGCAGTGTTTCTACCTAAACTTGTAAAGAAATAAACATTGACTCGTTTAAATATTTTCTTTGGTTAATAATTGTTATTTAACTTCCCTTCTGCTACATGAGGGTTTGTTTTCTTGTTTTGTAAAGGTAGGGGGGGATTTTTATGCTGCTTAAGAATAAATAGCTTAATAAATATGAAAATAAAGATTTAATAAATGAATAATGAATACATACAAATAAACATCTTGTCGGTTTTCAGATACACCCAGTACCAACGAATGCTAAGTACTTTATCCCAGTGTGAATTTTCAATGGGAAAAACTCTTCTGGTGTACGATATGAACCTGAGAGAAATGGAAAACTACGAAAAAATCTATAAGGACATAGGTAAAGTGAGAAAATATAACTATTTTCTGCTTGACAGTTGCTCTTTCATGAACATTTTGTGAGCGTAATAGATACATGAGTGGTTTAGGGTTTTTTTCTTAATAGGGAGCACTCATACATATGCTGTAAGCATCTTATCAGTATATAAAATACATAGATTCACAGAATGGTTTGGGTTGGAAGGGGCCTTAAAGCTCATCCAGTTCCACCCCCTGCCATGGGCAGGGACACCTTCCACTAGAGCAGCTTGCTCCAAGCCCCTGTGCCCAACCTGGCCTTGAACACTGCCAGGGATGGGGCAGCCACAGCTTCTTTGGGCACCCTGTGCCAGCACCTCAGTACCCTTACAGTAAAGAACTTCTTCCTTAGATCTAATCTAAATCTCACCTGTATAAGTTTAAACCCATTACCCCTTCTCCTATCACTACAGCCCCTGATGAGAATAGTCCCTTCTCCAGCATCCTTGTAGGCCCCTTCCAGGTACTGGGAGGGTGCTATGAGGTCTCCACACAGTTTCTCTTCTTCAGGCTGAACGGCTCCAATTTTCTCAGCCTGTCCTCATGTGAGAGATGCTTCAGCCCCTAATCATCCTCATGATCTCTACTGATCTTGCTGCAATACAAATAAAGAGGTTTTTTAACCTATTGAAATGTGTGTAGTTTTGAAACGATAAAGCTGGCAGGCAACCATGCCACAATTAGCTCTATATCTCTGTATGATTTAGCAGAATAACTTGTTTACATGTATTGTTTGATGTAAGTATAACTCTGTGTACTTTCTTTATTCCTTTAAGAAAATAGCATAGCTGCAGCTCATGAGAAGATTTCTGAATGCAAAAAGCAAATCCTGCAAGCAAAAAGGATTCGAAAAAATCGCCAGGGTAAGGAGCAGTACCTTATTTTATACACTGGGCAGTTTCAGTGTTTGGTTGGCTTTTCAAATACATTGTATTGGAAAACAGATTCCCAATTTTAAGAAGTGCAAAGGACTATACACAGAGACAGTGGTGCCAGTTGCACACCCAGCAACACTGTTTATATCCTCACTGAACCTGGTATGAGGGTTGTATTTTTTCCCTACTCTTATGCTGATAATTTCAATAGAAACTTAAAGCATTTCCCTGTAGTAGTTTTATCAAAAGTTTAGTAATGGAAGAAAATAATTTATGTTTTTTATTGACATGATCAAAATGCTAAATGAGAATGTTTAGGAGTATAACAGATTAAACGTTTTAAACACAACTGATCAATTTTGTGGATAATTTTAGACTCAACTAGAAATTAAAAGAACTTTAACCTGTAGGAATGTAGAAATCTTACATCTTCACAAACACAGGTCCAAAGTGTTTGCTTTCTGATATGTTCTGACTAGCCTGCAGCACAGATCTTGCCATGTGAATGAGGTGGTTGGCATATGTACTATCTTACTATTGGGAAACTGCTATGTTAGTTGCCCATGTAACTATAATACTGTTCTTAATGTGTAATACAGTTTAAAAAAAAATGCTGTTGCTTCTCATGGCAGCATGTTAAACATTTAAAGTTCTTAGAAAAAGTCTGTGTGTAACATCAGCACCACTTTCTGTACACATACGTTAGACTGTATCTAAAACCAATGCTTTGGTCATACAAATTACCAAGTGTGCAGCAATGCAGAGCTACCTAAAGGTGTTTTCTGGCCACATCCTTTACTAATCACTAGTACGGGGTAAGTTTGAGTGGGTAGATAATAGCCTACAGTCATAGTTGTAGTTTATTTAAAATCTCTTTTGATGTAATGAAATGTTATGGTATAAATGATATACATTTTTATATATGTATACTTGCAGGTACTTTTTATATATGTAAGGTGTTATTACAAATTGGAAGAATACTAAAATAGTTTTTCAGGAAGGACAAAAAATCTGCACCATTCTGTGGTACCTGAGTTTTGGTTCTTGAATCAATACTTTAAGCATTATTTAGATAACAATTTAAATTTCTTTCAGAATATGATGCATTGGCTAAAGTCATACAGCACCATCCAGACAGACATGAAACACTGAAGTAAGTATGAGACTACGTTAAATTATAATAAGCCAGTAAGCTGGAAGTAACCATAGTTGACATTCCTTGGTTTCAGTTTAACCTTTTCTCACTTTTATGTAACTTCTTGTGATACAAGAAAAGCTTAGGGTTTGTTTTAAAATTGCGCCCTTATCAGCTTTCTTTCATTAATCTCCCTCCTGCATAGGCTCAGATATGTTGCTGGTCATTCTGTATTTGAGATGTTTCCATCGCTAAAGTGAACAAGCGAACTCGGAGGTGAATGGACATCTAACGTTAGTTTACCAGGAATGGGCTACTCTGAAACGTGAGATAGCAGGGAAGTGCTGTAAAGTGTGACAGCGAAGGAATCGGTAGACACCCTAAATCCATAACATACAACAAGAGAAAGCAGGGAGAAAGCTTTTAGGGTTTTTGTTGTTTTCCTTGTAGTAGTTGTTCCTGCATGCCCGGTTATAAATGCCTGCATGGTGTACCACTATAACCTGCCCTGGCATGCAGGTTAGACCTACCTGTTGTCCAACTAGTCTTGCATGTAACTTACAGTGTTGCTTGTGTCACTGTGGGATTTGGATTACTATCTGTGCTTTTGGGTCATTTGTGAGGAGATAATCATTTTAACTTCGAGCCCCAGAAACATTCCAGAACTTACTGCATCTTTGAGTTTGTTCTCAGTCTGATTACAGATGCAGCGTGGATGTTACTGCTGTCATTTAAGCACAGCTTTTGCCTATCCTGTTGCCTATTTCCAGTGAAATTGCAGAGGGAGGCTCTCTTTTCACATTCCATGGTCTTTAATGGCAAAAGGAAGATTTTTTTTATTCTATTACCCTAAAAATAGGATGTTTCTAGCTATAAAGCCACTGACAGTATTTCACACATTCCTTTCTTGTGTGTCATTTTTGTGTGCCTTGATTTTATTACAACTTCAGTTATTACAGGCAGTTCTTATGAGGCATGACTACTTACTTCATTAGGCAGAATGTGCCATTTATCAAGTGAGGCTTCATCATAAAGCATTACAGAATTGAGGGTTTTCAATAAATCAAGTAAGAGCTGAAATACCTAAGCGGTGATACTTTCTTCTCGGAGGATGCCAGGTTTAGGTTTGGAGGGGTTGTTCTAATTTTGTCTTAACACATCCAAGCATAAGTTTCTTAAGCAAAGCTAGAAATGATGGTAAGGTACAGCTAGTAAATTGAGTATTTTGTCTTTTCTTGAACTTAACTTTATAATCTACTTACCAGAGTGTATTACAGTTAGAAAAATGAGTGTAGTCCTCTGGAAGAGCAGCCACAGCATATGCCCTTTGTCCTTCATATCTGGAGTCAAAAACGTAGACTGTAACTATAATATAATATGATCCCTCATTTTACAGATGGGGAAATAGGGCCTGGTTACAGAATAGAACATTTTTAAAGGAACCTTGGTTCATTAGGTATTTTAGCTTTAACCGACCTCCCCAAGTGAATAGACTAAATATAGGAATCAGATAAGTTTTCATTCAGTGCTTCAATTAGAAGGCTTCCTTTCTCTCCAGTTTGAGGAAAGCATACAGAAAATGAGACTGTTAACCAAGAAGGATCACCCTTACATCAGAATTCAGGAAGCCTCACTGACAATGTCACACTTCTTGTGGACTCTTAATCACTAAAAAAAACTGGATAAAACCTTTTGTGAGGAGAAATGTCATGGTTTATTACAAGAGTTACATTTATAGCCTTTACAGGTTATATGACACAATAGAACAAAGTTTGGAAAAATACTTTATGCTTATAAAGGGACTCTTTCTTGGACAACTAGTTCTACAGCACAAAGGAAGAAAAGCTGTTATGAGCTTAGTCACAAGTAATACACAAGAGCCAATTCAGGAAGTAACAGGAGCTGAACTACTAAATGGCAGTGCCCACAGTGTAATTAGATGCAGTATCAGAAGAGCTCTTAAAAGGACCAAGACAAGACACCAAGTCTTGGAAAAGGAAATACAGAAATGAAAAGGCTAGGCAGAGATTCTCTGGAGTGGAAAGTCAAATTCCAGATCTAGCTTGAATGTTACTGGAAGAAAAATTGCACGTCTTCTCACAGTCTGCTTATACCTGACATCATGGTGTAAACAGCAACATTTGGCCAAATGGAAGCCTTTCAGAAACTAGAAACTAGTAAAACCACTGTATGAGCTTATAAACTGTTAGTCTGTTTCCATTAAAGGAAAGGATAATGTCACACCCAGCCCTCTTCCAGGCATTCCCTTCAAGGTACCAAGCGTAGTGGCTCAAAAGAAGACAACCCCCTCAGGTAGCACTAAACTAAATCTGTTTCTCAACCATCATGAGTTTCTTAGGACCAGAGGCCTTGCTGTGGTTCCCTGCCCAGACTAGTTGCAGGAGTTCTCAGTGCTTCAGAAAAAGCCTTATTTCCTTTCTGGGCCTTACATGTCTCTGCTGATCAGGGATGAACATCTTCAATCCACTTCACCTTTAAAGAAACACGTTGTTCTCATTGGACAAAGCATCAATTGTGGTAGGCATTAGAGGGAAATTAGAAGGACCAAACTGGACATTTGAGTTTGAGTTGATGCTGTGTCCTCATTTGAAAGCTGGTGTACATTATTATACCTATTACTCTTTGCCCTACCTCAAAAAGGATTGGATGTGATGGGTCCAAGTGAGACCAGAAATGCTTGCAGGAAGATCCCAAAAGATGTTGAAAGATAATATACTTCAGAAGGATATGGATGATAATGGAGATTACAGGTGTTGCATGTTTCCTTTATCTCCTGATGCCAGAGGCAAGCAATTAAATTAAAAACTGGCATTTGAGAAGGAAGTGAGTATTTATATGGATCACAGTGTTAAATTCTGTGTGGTAAGGCGTAAGTTATAACATGTAATTCCATCAAAAACATGGATTATTCTACATATGCTTTCTGTAAAGTCTACATGTTGCCCAGTAACTCTGTCTGATTAGGCCATTGTCAGAGATAATGTACTTGACTGTATGTGGTCGGTTGCTGTGTTTGTATGTTGGGTATGTATGTTTATCAGATATGTTCTCCAAGTTGATGCTGCGTTTTTATTTAATCTTCTTATGTCAACATGAAAAAAATCTGTGAAGTAGCAAAACCTATAAAAATGCTGTGGGTGTTTAATGTAACCCACTTTTAACTTTCATTGTATGCATTGTATTGTATTGTAAATACCATGTTTCTAGCAGGACTGAATTGTTAACAGTCCAAATGCCCCGTATACAGCTGTTATAGAACCACAGGAAAGGAAAGGATGTTAAGATTATCCAGGTCCAACCCCCTGACATGGGCAGGGACACCTCACACTAAACCATGTCACCCAAGATTCCACCCAACCTGGCCTTGAACACTGCCAGGGACAGAGCATTTACCACTTCTTTGAGCAACCCATTCCAGTGCCTCACCACCCTCACAGTAAAGAGCTTCTTCCTTATATCTAATCTGAACTTCCCCTGTTTAAGTTTAAACCCATCGCCTCTTGTCCTATCACTAAGCGTCCTGACTTGAAGACTGTGTTTTCTGTAATTTAACATCTATATGAAGTGGCCTTACCCCTGTGTCACTTCATTTGTTAGGCTTTAGCTATGCTGTTTATTTAAGGGTTCTTTTTCCTTTACTTTCTTCATATCTATTTTGCAAGAACTTTACAGAACTTTTAAAAATACTGCAACAATTTCTTTCCAGGCAGCTGGAAGCTTTGGGAAAAGAACTGCAACATCTTTCTCACATTAAAGAGAATGTTGAAGATAAGGTAGGTTTTTCATAGAGATTGTTAGATAATAAATTATTAGGAACATAATGAATGGAGAATCTGCTATGTGCTATCTGTGCTCTGTTTCCTAAAATACATATTTTTATCATTCCAGTTGGAACTGAGAAGAAAGCAGTTTCATGTTCTCCTGAGCACCATCCATGAACTTCAGCAGACCCTGGAGAGTAAGTGATGTTCTTGGGCATTTTATCTATAACTGGGGTGGGTTTCAGCAGATCAAAAGGACTCACAGCTTCCAGCAGTGGCCAGATGTTTGCAGCTGAGGTTGGAGACCTCTTGAATGAGCAGCAAGTTTTTTCCAGTGGTAGCCCAGAGCCTGAGACTGCTCAGAGATTTTTTTCTCCTACCAACTGGCCACTGTGTCATTTCCTGACTAAATTCATATTAGTCTGTTGTAGACAAATTTATTTAAAATGTGGGGCCAGAGAATGACAATTTGAGGTTGTTTCTGTTTTTAAACAGAAAAAAATATTTCTTACAGGAAAGTATTCTTGGGCATACTTCCAAACTTGTTTGTGTAATTCCAGTTTCGGTGGTTATGAATGTGTCACTGCCATTGTGGTATTGTTTGAGGCTTTGCTAAAGAGAAATTGGAATACAGGAAAGCAAAATGAGTTGCTCAGGCAGTGAGTCTGTAATAGAGGAGGGACTAAAACTGGCATACACAAGAGCTAAAGTCAGGAATTGAGTCATACTCATCTTTTGTCATACAAATATTTAATATTTTCAAATCAGCATTTACTTTTCATTCTCTAATATGGATAGTATTGTTTTAAGTAGTATTTGCTGAGTATTTGCCATGTCTTTCAATGATGGAATCATTGGTATAGCCCTTGAGCATGACCTGATTAAATACATACGTGGCTATAAGAGCAGACTTTCATTCTCTAAGACTGTCTAGATCTACTTAAGCAGAATGAACTGTTAATCCTAGGTGCATTTTAGCAGAAGGATGTTGTTATATGCTGCTAACACTGCTTAAGTATTGGTCTCTAAAATACATACGAATGTATAGATTACCTTTCAGTTCTAGGATTTTGTGAAAGAAGTAACAGTTCAGTGGACAGCACAGCTTCAGTTTGAAGTAAATAAACCATTAATAGGCAAAGTGAAAGGATGTGAATTAAATTTGGTACTTTTTGCCTGAATTGATGCTATAGGGTTTACCCCATGTTCCCTGCAGTAGCTTTTGCACACAAAACCCTTAAACTTTGAAGGATTTTGTTTCAATTCGATTTCAGCATTTTAATGAGACAATCAACTACATATTTAAGGCAATCAACATAAAGTATTTAAGTGCTCTGCAATGCAGCCTGTAAGTACAGCAAAGCATGTTTGACTAACAGTCATATTGAATTTTAGATGATGAAAAACTTTCAGAAGCTGAAGAATCTCAGGAAACTCAGATTGAAACAGAGACCAAACAGTAGATGTGATATGAAGACTGACCATACTTCTAAAGAATGTCCAAGTGTCTTCAGTTTGTGTTGAAACCAACAGTAAAAAGGGATGGAGCAAAAAAAATTGTTTTCTACTATTTCTGTGATGTTGGTTTTTCTTCAGGGGAAAACAGTTACAGATCTACGCAGACAGGCAATTTGCATTAATCCACAAAGTCTGCAATTCCTGATAAGAAATATACTTTGTTTTTATAAAGGATGAAACGTCTACACAGTGTTCATGAAGTAAGGTTTTTGCAAAACATTGTCAATAAAAGGTGTTTACAGAGAGTTTTGTGGGTTTAGCACACATTGAGCCTAATAGTAAGGACACCTTTATTTACTTGATATTGGACTGAGGGTGGTGCATCTTTGCGTGAGTCCTGGCCTCCATACCTGAGTCCAGATGGGACCTAATCCTGAACTAAATAGGACTTTAATTTGTCAGAGTAGCTGCCATTTTAAACTCACCTGTGACTAGACTAGAATTTGCTAGTTTCATATAAAAAAATTACTTCTGTGGAATTCATGCTTGTCAAGGGGTGCAAACCAACAAAAGTCGTACAAGCTTTATTTTCTTCTCAAGGTGTTGCAAAGAACTGCAGTGATTCGGGCCTCACTATGCTGTGTTCTGTGCAACCACATCAAAAGTCACACTTTGAAATTACATGTTTGAAACTGCACTTCAAAAACTTTGTTCATGTAGAAGGAGGAATCTAATCCCAATACCATTTATAATCTGTTTCTGGATTTTACCTGCCAGTTGGCTATTACAAAATACATCATAGTTCCCAAAACATATGGTGTAACTCTTTCTTTCTCATGACAAACTGAAGCAGTAGAGCAGCAATCACACTGTTAAAGAATCTCAGATAGTTTTATTAATAGAGAAGGTGGAATCTATCCACCTGGATCATTCTGCAGTCTGTTGGGAGGTAGGAAATACAAGTTTCAACTTTCCCTATAAGTGAAGTGATGAGTGTACTCTAAGCTTTTGCAAGGCAGGGAGAAGGAACAAGGGGCAGCAGTAGGTCATGTCAGTACCTGTTCTCTATGTTCTAAGAACACCTGTTACAAAAAGCCTCCAGTGGTTTGGATAAAGGAAACACGGTTTGGATTGTGCTCAGACTGAGTCATAAGCAGCATATATGGTTGAAGTAAAGTTAACAATCTTACACAGAATAGAGCCACCTCCTCAAGCTAGGTGACAGCTGAGGGATTTCCAGGAGTGTGGCTCTGGACTCCTATCGTCTAAATGCCATATAATTCCCACTCAGTGGCAGTGGATCTCTGAACAGACACTTCCAAGCTTGTTTTGCTCACATTCCAAGTTTGCTAAAGGCAAGCCAGCTGAATGAGGAGTCAAACAATTTTGGTAGCACAACACAGCCCTGGACTAATGAGCTGTCAGAAGTCTTCCAGTTCACAGCTGATCAGCTCAGAACACAGGGGAAGCTGAGGTTTGCCTGACAGAGCCTGTGGAGGCATGCAGGGCTTCTCCTGCACTACAAATGTTGCAGATCAGGAGGGATGGGTAAGCAAACAAAAGGTATTTCATATGAAAAATACATTGTCAAAAAGTATTTAGTGTTCTCAGTTAGACACCCTCCTCCTAACAACAGTGACTAGTAGAATATTTTGTAGAGCAGCAATATTAAGTTATTGCCAAACCAGGGAGGAGTCACTTCCATGCATGTATGAATTACAAGGATCGTAAATGATAAAATCTAAACACGCTTAAAGCATATATATTCTGTGTTTGAAAGGCCCTCTGTGCCTACCTGGAGTGTGTTTTGCTGCAGAGGTGGTGACATTCACCAGCTCAAATGGTCTCTGTGACAGCATTGTCATGAAAACCTCAGTTTTTCCTGTTTTACACAGTTCTTTGGAAATTACCTGTATCACTCAAGTATCTTATCCCAGAGGTTGTGCTGCTCTGTATAGAACCTGACCAGAAACAGCCTGTGTCAGCCCCTCAGGTAAAGAATACATTAAGTGGAAACAAGTTGTACAGAAGAGAAGCAACACAGATGCACAGCAAAGTAAGGAGTATATTCAAGTTTGAACTACAGTGATGCAATCTTGGATATACTGTACTACTGTATGAACCACTTAATATATACAACAGACCCAGGGGAGTAAAGCAGTAAAGAAGGGCTCTACCTTTCATGCGTCATCCTGATTGTCAAATGTGTTCCTGGATAACCTTAACTGTCATTTCTCAGGTCTGTTTTAACAGATGTTATTATCTATGTTACAAAAATCCCTGTAAGTGCCACTTGTAGCCCAGGGCCCACAGGTTGCAGACACTGTACAACAAAAAGTCTGTTCTACCCCCTTATACCAGGCACACCACAACCGCTGGGACACAAAGCCAAGGCTGGGAGCACAGTGTCCCAAGACAGGGTTTCTAGAGCAATCCTAAAGCTGGGATGTAACATTCCATAGGATTTGTCCACGTTAGCAGAGACCTGAAGGGAAGGATGAACCTCTGCAGGCTGAAATGGTGGAGGGCTTGTTTCACTAGAGAGCCCGGAAGCAGAGCTGCCTATGTCAGGCAGCAGTGCTGCTGAATGACAGGAGCAGGTATTAATCGAGGAACCTATGAGGAACAGAAGTAAACTCGTTTGTCTACATCTGTTCAGTTTGTTCCCTGTAGGTTTTGCATGGGGCCGCACGTTTGGGTGACACACACCACCGCAGCTCCCGGCAGTGCCAACTCACACCGTGCAAGGGTTAGACCCACGGGCTTAGCCACAGCGCTCAAACTACCGAAGAGACTTGGGGCTGCTTGGGGGAGCATCTGCTGAAGCGAGGCAGAGGCAGGATGACGCGAGCAGCATTTAACTTCCACCCCACCGGCATAAAGCTCATCCCCGGCTTCCCTTAGTGCAGAGCTGACCGCCCAGCTCCGCGTTCCCTCCTGCCCAGCACACCCTGCTCGCTCCCCGCACCCCAGACACGGAGCCCGGGGAGGCCGCATCGGGCAGCCGGGACCCGCGGGCGGCCGGCAGGGGGCAGCAGAGCCCGGGCTGTCCCCAAGCGCACCGAGCGGGGAACCGGCGGAGCTCGGGGCCCTCTGACGGTGTTTCCGTCGCTTCCCGGCCTCGCAAGTCCTTTAAAACCCGTTAAAACGGTGTCTGGAGGGGTTAAAGACTCAAAGGGTTCTCTCTGCTTCCCATTCCCAGCTTGATTTATCAGCGTGTCGCCTGAAATGCCCTGAGGTGCTGGCACACGGTGCCCAGAGAAGCTGTGGCTGCCCCATCCCTGGCAGTGTTCAAGGGCAGGTTGGACACAGGGGCTTGGAGCAAGCTGCTCTAGTGGAAGGGGACCCTGCCCGTGGCAGGGGGTTGGAATTGGATGAGCTTTAAGGTCCTTTCCAACCCAAATTATTCTGTGATTCTCCAAACCTCTCCTAAACCACCCAAACCCACATAAGACACTGCCGAGGAGCTAAAGGTTCAATACTGAAACCTTTGCTCTTTTTAACACCCCACAACAGGACACAAGCAATCAGTATTTAATTTTCCTGCTGATAAGAGCAAACAGACACCTCCTGCTTTCCTCTCCCACACAAAGGTAGGAAGAGCAGAAGTCAAGCACCCTCCATCTCTCCTGCCTCTGGTACACCCAGCCCAAGGTGAGAGACATTTTCGGATCATTCCATACAGAGATGCTCAGGATTTGCAGCGTAACAGTGAGAAACTTGGCAAAAGTTTGCTCAAAGCGTTATGCTGTGTGAGAATGCCTCAAACAGTCAATGGCTGAGACACAGGTGCTTTTAAATCGCTCTCACTTTGAGGAAAAAGTAAAAGCAAACCAACAAAACAACGTGCTTTAATGCTTTGGCAGTTTGCTTGCAAGTCACCACTGAGAGAATTTAAACTGATGGGTTATCTCCAAGGAGGAAAGGATTGTGCTCTTTTGAACAGAAAATGATTTCATCTCAAATACATGCTGGAAATAACAGTGTGTACTGCGTGGAACAAACAGGACCCACTAGTAGCACTTTTGGAACAGAACACCAACATAAGCTTTGAGCTGTCAGGTCAAGTTGTCTGCAGCCACCTTTCCAACCACTCCTACATGAAACATTACTACACTTAAATCTTGCATGAAACCCAGTGAAATTCATCTTTATATTGAACTTGCTGCACCAAGATCTCCAAGCATTAGCTCCTATTTCAAACAAAATATTTTCACTAAAGCACCTTACTGTTGCTGAAAAAAAAAGCCTCCTAAATGACATTAGGCTTCAAAGCCAAAACCAAACGCTTTTGGTTGATTACCAAGCACAAGAGACAAGTTTAGACACAACACATGGGAATAACCACCAATGTCCAAAGCAGCTTCTCCCAGTTATATTTAGGGAACTTTTCCAATGTGGCAGAAATTCAGGGGTGGAGATGTTTTAACTTATTTGACAGGAAGCCTGGAAAAAAAATGACATCTTGATTTCTTTCTTAGTGTTTGTTACCATTGATACCTTTCAACTCATTCTGCATGAGATCACTTTCAGATCAGTTTCAGATCAGAAAGCTTTCAGATCAATTCTGCTTCACTCTGTTGTGACTGCTGGAGATAGGAAGGGCTGTGGAGGATGGGGCCACCACTCCTGCCATTACATCGTTAGTGTCCACAAAATCAGAGCAGGACCATCTCTTATAGTGGGAGCATCGGCTACCTGCCTACACATCCATGAATGCCCCAGTGTCAGGAGACAGTTTATGCTGGAGCTTGTTCTTGGGGCACAGAATGTACTGCTTATGTTTCAAAGCTTGTGGCACAGTGTGAGGTCTCTGCCCCGCTGACATACCAGCATGACACTTTATTGGGCAGACTCAAGATGTGATTGAAGGCAAACTGATGGTCCTGGTGACAGAAACCTTCCCTGGGAGATGTGTGCCTCAGTCAAATAACATGTGATCATCCAAACTAAGGTCTGTAGCAGCAGTGGGACTCACTGAAAGAATGAGACAACTTCTGCATCTCAGGACTCATCCTGTCAGGGGCACATATTCATTCATATAAAAGCAGGTTCTTCCCAGCACTACTCAGCACACTGATGAAGAGAACAAAATCCCCAGGACCAGCCTTTCTCAGCCCAGCAATGAAACACCAAAGCCAAGGGAAGATTTCTTCCTGTACACTGTGTGGGCTCTGACAATGACTGTGTGTCCCTTTGCTTGTGGCAGCGGGTGGCAGCATAGACAGTGCTCTCCAGGACCTGTTTGGGCATGAAGATTGTGCTGAAGAGCTGGGGAAGCAAAGCACTGTATTTGGCATGTGTTTGGGTTTTATTTTTCAGTGCTACTCAGTCAGGAGGATGCTGTAAGAAACACTAAATCCCTTTTTGAATAGACAGCTTCCATTGGTATTCAACTTGTGCTTTCTCCTCCTTACTGCCTAACCCATCAAACCTGCCAACTGCTTCACTAAGTACACTAAGCAATGGCAAAGGATCTCAAGGCACACGAGGAAAACCAGTCATGTAATCTCCTTGCTCTAATATAGTAAATAGCCAGCATATTTACTGAATGTAAAGGGATATAAAAAAGGGGTTTTGTGTTCCACTGCAGCATCTCTCAAGATGCAGATAGAGACATTCTCTAAGCTCAAATAGGACTAAACCCAGACTTCAATTCTTCAAGCGCATCAGCAAACACTGGTTTTGTGCTTGCTGTGTTTGCTGATGCTTATCCTACACCAAATAATGTAATATATAACAAACCAAAACAGTTTACCTGCATTTCAGGCCTCTCACGTAATGCTGATTCACTAGACATCACGTAAGGGCTGCAGTTAGTACCCAACAAACACTTCTGGTTTGGGGTCAGAGTGGTGACAAGAAGGAAACAACATTGCTCTTGTGATCTGGATTAGGGACCATGCTGAAAACGATGCAGGGAGGTCACAAAACCACTCAGATAAAATGAAAAAAGTCAAGTGAGAAAGAGCAGGAAAACCATCACAGTGTGTTTTGGGGTCAGAACCCTAAGGAAAATAAAAGGAATGTTTGGCAGCACAGCTTTTCCACAGAGTTGCGACTGCAGGACCACCAGAAACACTGTGCAAGTTCAGCCTTAGTGATGCAACAAGCGACTGTGGGCTCTGCTCAGCTGTGCCTGCACCCCACGCCCACAGGCCTGGCCTTTGCTAGTGTTTACTTGGCTTATGGGTGGTTTTTAATCCCATGTGATGGGTTTTTCAAGTGTGCCAATTCCTGCTGTAGCCTGCTGCCAGCTGATAGATGGTTTACGCCACTAAGGTTGAGAATTGCTAAAGAGCAGTGGGGATACTTTCTCCTGCTAATGAAAGTAGCAAGCAGAGGACTTCAAAAACCCTGTAACCTGCATGCAGCCAGCTACAGAGCAAGCTTGGCTTGGGGTGAAAAGAAACTGCGGGACAGAGCTCCATAGGGAGAAACAACTAAAACATAACAAATCCTCCAGGCAGAGTGCTTAAAGACAGGCTGTAGCATTAAACCACTGCGGTGCCTGCAGGGAGTGAGTGACCACATAAGAGATGTGAGCCAGTGGGCTTATTTTCCTGGAAGAACAGAAAGAAGAAAAAAAGAAGCAAAATAAAGAAAGGAAAAGCAAAGAAATTTAACTATGAGCTGATTGTCCCTGTCTTATTCCCATTCTCCAGGAGTAGATCTATAGCTTCTATATGTGCTTGTATATGCACAAACGTGCATATGCGCATACACATACACATCCCCACAGCTTGAAACCTTGCAGACAATCCAAAAGCATTTGTGGAAGCTTAAACTGATTAAATCAGAATACACATTTCAGGGACTCCCATTTTTTGCTGAAAGCCTCACCCCCATCACTACGACAGCTTTTCAGTCCAGCCAGCCCAGAGCCCCCTTCACTGCTTCCACTCCCATGCCTCTGCCAGCAATACAAATAGTAATACAAAGCCACACACAGTTGAGGAGTAAATACTCGTTATTATTTGCCTTGACACTTGGGGAAGCACTGGAAGGTTCAGCTACCTTGCTTTTTCACATTGTCCTGTTATCACCCAATGTCAAACTTCCTCTGCTTGTTTGCTTTACAATTGCTCATCCCTTGGGAAAACTGCGGGGGAAGAGTCAGGGCATGTGGAACAGAGAGCAGCAATTTCACTGAGAAATAATAGTAACCAAAGTGAACTGATTATCAGTGCAAATGAGACAAGCAAGATTCCCAGTTGCATTATCTCCAAATTGCTACCTGCCTGTTGCTGTGCCTGTGATTAGCTGGGTTCAGCACCCCATCCTTTTCCCGCTCATTAATTTCAGCAGCAGTTCCAGCGAGTGTAACAGGAGCAGATTGTGTCGGTTTGCTAAAATGCTGTAAAGGTGCCTGGATGGTGCACTCGAGCCAGAAAGACAGTGAAACTGCTTTGAGGTGTCTGTTCCTGGGGCTTCACAGCAGAGTAGGTACTGGTGTGCATGCAAGGGACCTGGTGTGCCTGAGCACCATGTGGAGATGCTGCACCTCCCTCCAGTCCCTTCCTGCACACTAGGTGACTTGCTTCTCTTTGCCTTTTCTTAACTCACAGGTTGAAGTAAGGTACCTGAACTGCCCATACAGGATCATTCAGTGATTTAGGCTGCAGAGGATCTTTGGAGGTCTCTAGTCCAACCTCCTGCTCTGAAGCAGGGCCAGCTTCAGAGTTAGGTGAGGTTGCTCAGAGCCTGGACCAGCATATTTGAGTGTCCCACAGCCTCTCTGGGTCCCGATTCCAACACTTAACCATGCATTCACATGAGGAAAATTTATACCCCTTGCACTCTGACTGACATTCCCTTACCAGCCATTGTGCTGTTGCCCCAGCCCTTGCTACTATGGGTTGAGGTGGGCTCTGTCACACAGCTGAGCATTGCCTGGGTGTGATCTTCCCTCAGCAGCTCCACCAGAACAGTTGTGCTTTACAAGGCTTCTTGTACCATGATCTGGCCACTGAATTTAGCGTGCAGTTGTGCTACTGCTCACTTAGACAAAGCACTGAACAGATGAGAAAGCTCCTCTATTGACAGTGCTCCAATATTTTTTTTCTGCAGCTAAATAGAAGAGAAAGTTGGGTTTCACATAACGGGAATCGAGCTCTTGGACAGCATTATTACCCCCCTGCTGTCAGCACATCCACCCTGGCTTTCCAGCCTCCAAGGGGAGAGAGCAACCCCAGCATTTACCATGTCAGACCCTACCCTGCTGTCAGCCTGGGTGGCTGAAAACCTCACCCTGAAACTTCTTTCAGGAAGCACTTTTGCTTGCAGGGTTTCCTGCAGAGCACACAGTGCACTGTGCCTTTCCCTCAGCAGTAGGCTGGCATGATGAGCATCTCCTTCCCAATAATATTTTGTTTGAAGATCCTGAAGGAAAATAATTGCTCATGCTCCCCATCAGAAAACCAAACAATTACAGTGGTGAGTGATATTGTAACAGTGCCTATAATTAAGGAACTGCCAGCATTTTAATTATAAACTAATAACTTCAGTGGCTGACAATCCTGCTGTACAGCAGAGCCATTAAAAGCAAGATTGCCAGTTCCAGAGTTACAGACCAGCAATTAAAGTTTTAAGGAGCTTTTTTTGTACTTTTTGCTTATTAAGATGTGTTCCTTGCCTATTAAGGGCTTTGGGGAAATTTCAGTGAAGTCCTTACATTAATGAATAGTGGGTTTTCCTTTAACTTTCAATGATTCCTCTGTCACAGCATGGGGTGAGGACATCCTGAGGAGAGCAAGTATCTCACCAGGCTTTCTGCAATCACACTGAAGCTGACATAGGTGCTGCTTTAACGTGTTCCACCTTCCAAGCACTGGGACAGTTATTGCTCAGTACCACCAAGGAGCTTTGCTGAAGTCTGTTTAGAAGGTGCTTTAAGTACCAGTGGGGATTTATTCAATTATTACTTAAAATAAAAAAAAAAAATATGTTAGACAATAAAATTTCATTAAGCATTAAGAGGTTAAGAACTCACTACTTTGCAATATTAAAAACACTAAAAATGAGATGAAGCTTGTCCCTTCTCCAGCTTCTGAGCCATTGCAGAACCAGGCTGAGGTTCAGCTTTCCTTTTCCTTCATTCAGGAATTCAAAGCATTCAAATGCTGCAGACATGGAGTCCCCCCAAGACTGCCTGCCCCTGCAATGGTTCACACATTCCAAGCCTGTGCTCATCCCACAGCCAAGCAGGTCAGGAGGAGCAGAGAAGCTGGCATCACACAGCCAAGTGGCAGTGAGCATACAAGTTCCTGTAAGCTCATATAGCCCTGTGCATACAGGTCCCAGACACACCAGCATCACCTACTCAGTGAGTTTGCTGCTGAAAACTTCCCTACCCTGCAGCAGCCATTGCACAACCCAGGACCGCAATGGAAACACTCCCAGTAAATGCTGCTGTTAGGTCAAGCCACTTCAAACCAAGCGCAGGGTGAGAAACAGGGCAACAGAAATGACAAATGCTGATCTAGGGATGTCTGCACAGACAGATGTTACCTGCCAGCAAGGCAGGAGTGTGCTGAGACCCAGGGTGTGCCTGGCTTACACAGCCAGCCTTGCCCTCACTGCAATGGGGACAAAGCCACAGCCAGGGCATGGCCCTTCCTCACCTCCCTGCCTTTTCCATCATGGGTCTCCAGTGAGGACCAGTGCACAGGATTTTCACTCATCCCCTGCCTGGGGACACACAGGGATGCTCAGCCGTTGAACAGAGACATCCACTACCCAGGAAATCACCCGCACTGCGGTGCATCTCTGGGAGCCTGTTTCCAACCTTCAGGCCTGGCTCAAGGGGAAGGTCCCTGCAGAGCTCAGAAGATGCAACACTTGGGAATAAACGCTTGCTGATCAAGACACACCATGTCTTAATTACACAGAGCCAGTATTCGCAGCACTTCCTTTGCAGAAGCAGATATTGATGCTTGGCCTCATGTGATTCTGAATGCCACAAATACACTTATTTGTTTCCATTACTTACGTTTTGCATATTTTTCTAAACCTCAGATTATTAAGCACAGTTTTCTATGCTGGAGAGCTCAAATATCACAATATGCAGGGGTATGCCTCAAAGCTTCTAGCAGGCACTAGTGACATCTAAGCTATGCTAAAATACTTCTTTGTCCACCTCTTTAAACCGTATGAATGACGATTTGACACCTTTTCCATAATCTTTTGAAGAGCTGTTCTAAAGGAGGGAGGATTAACCTTAGGGCAGGGCATAAGCAAGGACAGAAACTGGGGTTTGTTCAGCACTCAATCACTTCTCATTCCAGAGCTAGTTATGCGAGATGTTAATTTAAACTGGCAGCAGATTTTGCATAAAGACATCTCAGAACACCAGCCAGCCCCAGCATTTGCATGGATTTTAGTTTTCATGTTATTAAAACCTTTTAATGAAGTTTTCCAGGATAGATCTTACTTCAAGCTTTGCTGCTCTGACGTTCAATGCTAGTTGAGCGTATGCACACTCCAAGGGGTAAAGCAGGGTATTTTATTACTGTTAAGTGTCCTGTGCTTGGCCTTCTTCACATTATAGGACACTGAGAAACACTGAGGTTATGTCCATAGGATTCGCAGCATCCCTCCTTTCCTTGTATGTGACAGGACTGCCTAGAGCTTTTATGCAGGAGCAAAACATTTACTGTTGATACTGGAACCATTTCTATGACATCTTCTTTCAGTCTAGAATGTATTTATTTTATCCTCTCTTTATAATGATAGCTCCACTGGAATGGTTACCACGCTCCAGAGAATTTATTCTCCACAGGCTACGTTTCCCTTCTGAAACCAGAGACAACTGCTGAAAACAACTTACATCCATTTCTTTTTTCTAACTGGAAAAAACCCTCTTGAACCCTGAAGTTGCATCTTTAGAAGACTGACGGCAAACCCTGAATTCATTTACTTGTTCAGCACAACTTGCTCTTGAGGTGTCACACGGTTCTTTATCTACTTACTCCCAGTTCAAGCCTCCTATTTCATATTTTAAAACCAAAAATGATCAAAACATACCCTGTGAAAGGACTCTTTCCCCCCCCCTCTCCTTTCCTCTCCCCTCTTTGCAGAGGGATGCCTTGCAAACCCGCCCTTGCCCACCTTCTCTCCACTTGCTCCTCAGCAGTGTTGGGAGCAGAGCTCCTCTATAGCATCACTTCCCACCTGGAATGGGGGAGATCCTCAGCTGATTCACCCACTGCAGTCTAATGGGTTCCTGTACTTGCTGGGAAGTGACCCACAGTCCTGAGTGTAAAAGAGGAGCAGAAAACAGGAGAAAGATTGCTGTCTAATTATAGGTAGTACTTCTACACACAGGCACAAGATGTTAATGTCAGGGAAGCTCATTTCTGTCCTGTGTCTTCCGTTACTTATTCTGCATTCTTCTTAGGATACAAGAGAGAGCAACTCCTACATACAATTTATATATATCTGTAGATGTGTGAGAGATTCTTAATAAAAAGAGGATGACAGTTGCCACAGGAAATTATGAATACATGCATATGTACACACTCAAACACGCACCCGGAGCCTTTATGAGACTCTTCCATTTCTTGAAGGAAATACTTTTAAAGAAGCGTGATGCCCCTCTTGCTCGAACCAAGAGCTCAGCAGCAAAGAAGGGGGTGAATATGCACCCAAGCCTTCCTCATAAGCTCTGATCTAAGAGAACATGTCACTTTGTGATGTGGGCATGTGAATAAGTCATCTTCGTGTAAGCCACAGCACAGCTACTCTAGTAAATATGCATTTACCTTTCAGTTACTGCAAGGTGGAACATACGGAGGGGTAACTGCTTCACATGGCAATTGTGAGCATCAGCTTTCCTCTCCAGGAGGGAAGAGTGGGGTTTCATTTCTACTCCACTCTAAATGCAGCAACCAAAGAAATGAGGCAGCTTCACTTGAGATTCAGACACTGACAAAAGGCAGTAAGACTCAAGCTTGTTTTCCTCCAAAACACCTGTAATTGCTACAATAATAATCAGTTTAGTGAAGGATAGTTCGATCAATCTGGCCCTGGGAAAACATTAAGTAATAATAGTTTTGTACAAGCTTCAGCCTAGTGTCTTTATTAAAAACCTACATCAAAGCCCATGCCTAGTCCAGTCTATTCATGCTACCCCTCTCATTTGAAACATGCTCATACACCAAAGAATCCTGATGGATTGGAGCCCTAGGAGGTAAACCAGCAGATTGAAGAGGTTAAATGTATTTCTTTACTAATGGGACTGATGCTGTTCAAAGCTCCCATAAAAATTCAGTGTGAAGAGCTTCCCGAGCTCAGGGGGTTTATAGCCTTCATGATCATTCAACCTTTAAGCAGATACAAAGACAATTTTTCTCTGCCTCTCTCTGAATATATCCATCTCCTCAGGAGCAGGAGACAGACTTTTAAAGAGAACTTGATAAAATTCCTGAGACAGCTCATTAATTCTAGTCACTTCAGCAGTGACTTCCCCACCAATTGTGGCACTCAAAGAGGTTATGGATTGCCTTAGTAAGAACGAATCCTATTCATTAGCCATTTCCCTGTACTTGCATATTAATATTGTCTGGCCTTGTTAAATATAGAAACCTATTTTCTTCTAATCCATCTTTAACAGGCATTTTGTTTCCTAAGGGTAGCCACAAAATAATTGATACTGAGTTATCCCACGTCTAAAAAGCTTGTGAAATTCCCCAAGTGGCCTCCTGTTGCTGCTGTGGAGTTGGGGCATGCTGCTGGTTCACTCTATAGATATTGTGCGTGCACCACTGTTTTGATGGGGAATTTAGGATCTTTTGCCCTGCACACCCTCTTCCCCACTTTGTGAAGGCATGATTTAGACAGTAGACTTTTATCTCTGTTACACATGTGCAGAGAAGCTGTGGTTGCCCCATCCCTGGCAGTGTTCAAGGCCAAGTTGGATGGGGCTTGGAGTAACCTGCTCTAGTGGAAGGTGTCCTTGCCCATGGCAAGGTGTTGGAACTGGGCGTTAAGGTCTCTTCCAACCCAAACCATTCTATGATTCTATTATAAACAGAATTCAGTGGTGAGAATAGGAAATAATAACCACAGACAGTGCAAGTTGTAGGTCTGAAGGACTTTGCAGCAGTCCTTTATCCTGTCCACAGCTCAGATTCACACAGCACTACCCAAACAAGTATCACTGAAACTCTCAAGTAACTCAAAAGCAGAAAGACTTGGAAGCAGCAGGAGGTAACTTGCTGCCAAAGAAATCTTTATTCTGCAGGTTAAAGGGAATTCTGTTAATTTATTTGACTAAAATGAGAGCTGGTTGAAATCTCTCAACTGTGTTTTATTGAATGATTTTTTTCATGTAAACAGAACTTTTGAAGGACCTTGGGGAGAGGAGGTGTATTGAAGAAAATATTGCTTCCTTGGCAAAAGAAAGCTTAAAACTTTGGAGGTTTCTATGAAAATGAGGTCTCTTGTGCTGTTAACTACATACCCTGAAATAAGAAAAGGGATTTTCATCTTTTTTCATCAGCTTCCAAGATTAATAGCTTTACAAGAGTCTAATCCTTTTGGAAATCCAGCACAAATACTTCCCTTTTGCATCTTGCAATAACAAACTATTCAGCCAAGGTAGATACACAAAAACCTAGCAACTAATTTGTGCTCATTTGGTCATTCTGATGAGGCTGCAGTAAAAGAACTGGAAACTGGAAGAATTACAAGGGAACTCCCAAATACTGAGTGGCAGCCAAAACCTCCCCCCTGGTACTGACAATGTACCATCAGTAAGGAGTGGTTCAAACCCATGGCTGCTGCTCAGCTTCTGGCTGTTGGTGTGGCAATATTCATTGTAATGAGGAGTTTCTGATGAGCTGTTTATAGCACAAGCCTGGGTATGGATCATTTTCTGAGAATAACTTCAGTGAAAGAAATAAAAACCACTATCTGCTGGAGCTTTTTGACAACTTGTAATTATGGTTGGAGCTGCAGTCAAGTGATTTCAGACAGGAGAGCAGGTAATTTCCCAGAGTTACCCACTGGAGCAGCACCCTCCCTATCAGGTCACTCATGGAGAAGAGAATGCTCCCACCATCCAAGTTCCTGCAGGAACCTGAGTACATACAAGAGTATGTGCAGGAGGGGAAAATGTGGGGTTTTTTATCCCTTAAGGAAAAAAACCCAAACCCCTTCAAATTTTCTACCCTTTACAGTCTCTAGTTATTTTCTTTATGCTAAAAATACACCGGAAAACTCATCTCTCAAGTATTCCTGCAC